GTAGAGTAAAATAACTGAGCTTATTACAAGTGTAGAGTAAAATACTGAGCTTTATAAAGTGTAGAGTAAAATACTGAACTTATTACTTTACTTTAGGTTACTTTACACCCCATCTTTACCTTTCAAGTTGTGCTGGGTTTGGATGCTTAGCTTTAAGAGTGTTATTGTTAGGTTACTTTACACCCCATCTTTACCTTTCAAGTTGTGCTGGGTTCAGATGCTTAGTCTTAAGTGTTATTGTTAGGTTACTTTACATTCCAGATAACTTGAGTCATCAGGATGTAAACAGTATCTTCTTCACTAACTAAAACAGCCAAAATAAAACTTTCTTAAAATGAATAGTCACAGGATACAGTTTCCTGTTGTTTTCTATTGTTTTGTTTTTTAGGTCACAGGATACAGCTTCCTGTTATTTTTTGTTTTTAAAAGCTGTAACAAATTAAATTAATCACACATATATTGTCACTTCACATGAGAACATTACATAACACTTTCCTGAAAAGCAGTTGATTACTTAAGTTTTCACACTTTTAATGATTTATGAAGAAGCGCCACCTAGTAACAAGTTGAAATTGCTGTATCTTCTATTAACGAAATAAAAATTGTCATCGTATCTGAACATAATAGATTATGAAACTAAAACCATTGATAAGAGGTTTTTTTTTTCTGGAATATTTTTGAGTATAAAAATACAATATTGATATCGACTCATCATTCACGTGTTCCAAACCTTTTAATTTATTTTAAATTTAAACTCTAGGATCAATCCTGGAAGCCACCATCTCAACTGAGGCATGTAAAAATGGACTTCCGTCAGTATCCCATTTGCTATTACATCCGTAAGTGAAGCTGTCAATATTTTTGCTGTGATAAATCCAACAAATGTACACATGTACTGGTCAAGTATATGTATTTGTCCTTTTATGCTCCTGGGCATCTCAATATTTTTTCTTCCACTTTTATTATTTCTGATTTACTGACGACTTTTCTCCCAGATGCCCAAGATTTGGCAGCTATTATTCCTTAAGCACCCCAGAAAAACTATGCTATGCCCGTGGCATAATTTATATAAGTTTACAGAATACCCCAGGGCACGGCATGACAAGTCATTTTTTTGTTATGTTTTAACTATCAGGAACAATCGATCAGTGATGGCCACTCGTGGAAGTGTCGGATGCAAGAATTTGTTTTCTTTACTTTCCCTGTAGCAATTTCCTTTTTCTGCTTAGGTTCATAATAACTAGAAGTTCCTATGATACAAGAGCATTCAAACATCTAGAATCTATTTTAATATTGTAAAAAATAAAACAAATATTATGCATTAAGCTGTATAATCTTTTTTACATCAACTTTGGATAAGATCAATTTTATTTAATTGTTTGAATTTTGTAGTCCTAATATATACTTTAGGGTCCTGGCTATTGTCAAATTATTTAAAATTAAAATAACACCTTCTGTTACTAACTTAAAAGTAAATAGTATTCAGAATGCTATTTACTAAAAGTAAAATATTTTTTACTGTACTTTCTCTGTAGTCATAATAACATAATCTTGTTTATATGTAAAAAAAAAAAGTGCTTATTTCCAAAATATATTGTTGTTTTCATCCTTCATGTTTTATGCATGTACTTCAAAAATCATATGTTCTTATTTCACTGTATCAGTTGTGTACTTTAGTTTATATTATTAATAATGGTTAGAAATCGTTTTAACGTGTAGAGGTGTTTACCATGATATACCAAACGATTGAAAGTAAAATAATTTTATAAGCGAACATGGCGAGGTGTTTACTCGCATCTATTTTATTCTTTAATATACAGGTTCTTTGCCAACCTGTCAAATGTGGGACAAGAAAAAGTCCACTTAAAAGTACCACCTCAATTAAAAGAAAACCTCCAAAAAGCCAAAGAACAAGTAGAGGCCAGAATCAAAGAGGAGCAAAAATGTGTAAGTTATATGTACAGTTTATCAGTTTTTGATGCAAGGTTTCAGTTTTGTTTGCTCTGTATCATTTTGGATGCAAGGTTTCAGTTTTGTTTACTCTGTACCATGTTTGATGCAAGATTTCAGTTTTGTTTACTCTGTACCATGTTTGATACAAGGTTTCAGTTTTGTTTACTCTGTACCATGTTTGATACAAGGTTTCAGTTTTGTTTACTCTGTATTATGTTTGATACAAGGTTTCAGTTTTGTTTACTCTGTATTATGTTTGCAAGGTTTCGGTTTTGTTTACTCTGTGTTATGTTTGATACAAGGTTTCAGTTTTGTTTACTCTGTATTATGTTTGATACAAGGTTTCAGTTGTGTTTACTCTGTATTATGTTTGCCAGGTTTCAATTTTGTTTACTCCATAACACAAGTAATGCTTGTTGTTATTGTTACAGTTTTGGAATTGGTTAAAATTCCAGTATCAATTTCACATGGATTTTAGGCCTCAAATCAATTGAATTCTGGAATGTATTCTCCCCTTCCTCTTTTTGTGTATGTGGGGTGAGGTTTGGAATTTTAATTTTTCAGTGTATTTTACTGATAAACTATAAGATATGTTGATTTTTTTTTAATGTTGTTCTTTTGTATTTTAGGTGACAGTTTTTTCATGCATTGGATAATCATAGTTTGTATAGTTGGTTACTATGACTTAAGAGGATGTTTGTGTTACATTTCTGTATTTTCCTTTTCTCGGGTAGTATTGATTTATATGTTTTAATTGGTTTCCATTCAAAGTTAACAGTTCAATAATTCTGTTGTCCTTAATGATTGTTTTGGTTTCAAGAGTAAAAGTATCTCCTTTCCTAAGAGTTAACATTTTCCCAGCATTAAGCAAATATTTAAATTAAATATATATATCTTTATTAATTATGAGGTTATTTATTTACAACTTTTTTTAAAACACAACAATACTTATATAAAATTCTCCTTTATGAGTGTGTGTGACTGATATAAAGAAAACCAAACCATTTTTTTAGTTATTTCTGTTTTCACAGATTTTTTTAAACCCTTTACTTGTATCATCCATGGTGTTTTTTTGCCCATTTGGTCAGATTTAACTTATATCAGTGTATCCAACCTTTTTTGAAGTGGGGACTTTTTTTACAAGCCATTATTTACTCAAAAAACACCTGAATTACATTATAATCATAGTAGTGGATTTTATCTAGTTTTTATATTTTAAAAATTGTATGTTGCTCATTTCTCTGGATGATTTAATTTTACACCTGCATTGACACTGGTTCACAGGCCAGTGTAATTTCATCCCCTACGTTTACACTGGTTCACAGGCCAGTGTAATTTTACCCCCTACGTTTACACTGGTTCACGGGCCAGTACAATTTTACCCGCTACATTTACACTGGTTCACAGGCCAGTACAATTTTACCCCCTACGTTTACACTGGTTCACAGGCCAGTGTAATTTTACCCCCTACGTTTACACTGGTTCACAGACCAGTGTAATTTTACCCCTATATTTACACTGGTTCTCAGGCCAGTGGTAATTTTACCCTTACGTTTACACTGGTTCTCGTGCCAGTTCTCAGGCCAGTGGTAATTTTACCCCTACGTTTACACTGGTTCGCAGGCCAGTGATTGTGAACAGTATATTCAAGAAAGACAACAAACAATTTAAAAACGTTTTTTGATTTACCTAACATTTCGGTTTACACCTTTTTTGAGTGACATAAAATACAACATATTCTTTTTAGTTACTATAGTTATAGACTTTAGTATTGTAAACTGTGATGCTAAAAAATCATGTCGGGTAAAATATAGAAGTTGTTTGTCATCTTTCTTGAATATGGTTTCTGTACTTTAGTCAACACTGAAACCGTAAACTAACAAAATGTTAACAGCATAGGTTTTACTCAAACTTTCGTTACACACTACACATCAGTTTTTAAAGAAATACTTATATAATTCTGGCAGGTGAACTTATTGATATGTACATGTATAAATTGGACCACCTGTTATTGTTGTTTTTCTGATAATTTTGTTATTATTTCGTAATGAGTAACAAGATATGTCTATTCATGTTGTAGTTTCGCCACAGCCAGCGTTTATCAAAAGTCCATGCTCATTTCACATCAGAAGAAGAAATTAAAAAACGAATAAATGAAAGGAAAAAGGTAACCTTTCTTTGTGGTACCCTAACTAAAGTTGTTTAATATTTTATCAGTATTTGAATGAGTAACCTACAGGTACTGGTAAGCAGTAATTATATGCTTTGATATAATAAAAAAAAACTTCTGTTTTTAATAATTCAAATTGTTAAGGTATTTGTATTTAATATGATGAAAAAAATTGATACAGGATTGATCAACTCACCAAGTTTTAAGTTATCATGTTTGTTGATCAAACCTAAAAGCTATCATGTCAGTTAATCAAACCTGTAAGTCGTTATGTCAGTTGATCAGATGTGCAAGCTGTAACACCAGTTTATCACACGTGTAAGCTGTCGTGTCAGTTGATCAGACGTGTAAGCTGTCGTGTCAGTTGATCAGACGTGTGAGCTGTCGTGTCAGTTGATCAGACGTGTGAGCTGTCGTGTCAGTTGATCAGACGTGTGAGCTGTCGTGTCAGTTGATCAGACGTGTGAGCTGTCACATCAGTTTATCACATGTGTAAGCTGTCGTGTCAGTTGATCAGATGTGTGAGCTGTCGTGTCAGCTGATCAGACGCGTGAGCTGTCGTGTCAGCTGATCAGACGTGTAAGCTGTCAAGTTTAAATTATGTATTTCTTACATTTGTAACTCATGTTATTTTTTGAAGAACCTTATAGCACTGAAAGAACACTGAACAATCTGTAATACTATTTCTTTCAGCAACAGAAGCTAACTACAACTACAACTGTGCCATCAACAACAACTACAACAGTGCAAAATGGTGCACCAACACCATTGACATCAGGTAATTCAGAACAGTTCAGTGATCTTACCCAGAACATACTACAATAATGTTTGAAATTTCTGTGGTAAAATTGTAAATATTAGAAATATTTCTCCCCTGGATGTTTTCTAAAGGTTGAATTTAAGTATACTGTCTGTAGGAATGCCCTCGTCAGATAATAAGAGATACTGCTTCAGAAAATTTTCAAAAGTCGGCTCACACAGTTAGCTTAAGGAACAGAATATGTCTATGAACTTCAAACCAATTTCAGGCTCATTTTTTTTTAATCGACATAGATTAAATTTTGTGTAATTCAATCTTCTTGTCACAGCGTAGCATTCTGTGTTTCAGAAAAAAAACTTATTATATCTTGTGGTAAATGTAGTTCCAGGTTGTACAGCCTATTTTTATTTACCTATAGTTGTGAATATGACACCTGTTTATGTTCCTAATGAAGAAAGGTCCACTTTCCAAATTATTTGGGTTATATGTTTTTTGATTTTTTGAATCTATGTGTTTTTTCTAACATGTTTGTATAAAGTTCAGCAACAGAAACTTGTTACACATTTAAAGATCTTGAAATATAGTTCTAGTCTTTGTTCTGTTACGCTTTTCATGAAATAAAGTAAAGATAATGCCTTTTCAAGTGATATATAGAAACAAAGAGTTTCCAGTATGTTCAGTTGCACTTTAAGAATCAGTTGATATACTTTGTGTGGTATAACTGCTTAAGAATCAGTTTATGTACTTTCTGTGGTATAACTGTTTAAGAATCAGTCGATGTACTTTCTGTGGTATAACTGTTTAAGAATCAGTCGAGGTACTTTGTGTGGTAAAACTGTTCAAGAATCAGTTGATGTACTTTGTGTGGTATAACTGTTTAAGAATCAGTGGATGTACTTTGTGTGGTATAACTGTTTAAGAATCAATTGATATACTTTGTGTGATATAACTGTTTAAGAATCAGTTGATATGCTTTGTGTGGTAAAACTGTTTAAGAATCAGTCAATGTACTTTGTGTGGTATAACTGTTTAAGAATCAATTGATATACTTTGTGTGATATAACTGTTTAAGAATCAGTTGATGTACTTCGTGTGGTATAACTCTTCAAGAATCAGTCGATATACTTTGTGTGGTATAACTATTTAAGAATCAATTGATATACTTTGTGTGGTATAACTGTTTAAGAATCAGTTGATATACTTTGTGTGGTATAACTGTTTAAGAATCAGTTGATATACTTTGTGTGGTATAACTGTTTAAGAATCAATTGATATACTTTGTGTGGTATAACTGTTTAAGAATCAGTCGATGTACTTTGTGTGGTA